CCCCGCCACGACCATCGTGCTCAACGTCTTGGCCCCAGTCTGCCCACCTCTCCCGAACCGTGACATCCATCCTAGTCCTCGATAGCACGTAGGCGAAAACGACCAGCCGTCGACGGAAGTAGCGAGGATAAAGGAATCTTTCACACCTTATACGTGCACAGAGATTGTGGGAGAGAGAGGGAGAGGGAGAGAGAGTGAGAGACAGAGAGAGAGACAGAGAGAGTGAGTGAGAGGATTTGAAAGAGACACAAAGAGGGAGAGAGAGAGAGAGGGAAAGGATAGAGGAGCCTCGCACAAGCACACTGAGGAAGGGAGAGAGAGACACTGAAAGGGAGAAAGGGAGAGTGAGAGGCTGGAACAAAAGAGGCGAGCACTGCCTGTGTTCCCTCGACCCATCTCGCCCCTGGATCTCGACCCCGCCCCAGCACCTAAGCCAGCCTTCCCCAATCGGCACTTGCGCAGGACAACAGCTTCATCATGGTGTATGGCAAGGGGAAGATCAAGCAACAACGGGTACACAAGAAATGGATTCAATGTTGCTTTATAGGGGAATCGCAAGGAAACTAGCCCAGGATCAGCTCAGAGGAGCCACGACGGAGGGAGTGGAAGAACAGAACCAACATAATCAATCAACACAGGCAGAACAGGGGCAGGAATCCCACACCCATGAAGGACAACCGCAGGGATCAACCGCCTCGACCTCGCAAGGAAAAACTGGAGGACCATCGTCCGAACAGGATCCGCACCAGTCCTGGGCCGGAAAAGTAAGGGGACCACTGCCCAAAGAATCCATCCTTATCCAGCGCGGAAAGGATGTTGCCAGAGGGGAAGCGAAGGAAAAGTGGGAAATCCCGCTGAGGAATTTGACAGCAGCCGGAGCGTTCTTTTTATCCCGCTTGTTGACCCCCTCCGAAAATAGGATAATCCATCAAGGTGGGAAGAAGACCACGATTCGAGCCCTCCCATGGGAGGCAGTTAAAACACGAGATACCGTGTACACTAAGCACGCGAGTAACTGGGCATTTCACGACGATGCAGCTTTTTAATCTACAAA